GTTTTGTTTGTAATTTGTATTGGTTAAATCTGAAACTTACTCTGTTTTGTTTGTAATTTGTATTGGTTAAATCTGAAACTTACTCTGTTTTGATTGTAATTTGTATTGGTTAAATCTGAAACTTACTCTGTTTTGTTTGTAATTTGTATTGGTTAAATCTGAAACTTACTCTGTTTTGTTTGTAATTTGTATTGGTTAAATCTGAAACTTACTCTGTTTTGTTTGTAATTTGTATTGGTTAAATCTGAAACTTATAATTTTTGTGGAACTTTCAATTGTTTTATTTATTGCTCAGCTATAAAAGTATTACCCATTTATCATTGGAGACGATTGGTGCGGTATTTTCCGAGATCCGAGTTTTGGATGTATACATCGCAAGCTCCATTATCATAAAATTCTTCTTTTCTAAAATTCTTCTTATTAAACAAGATGACTCGTATGATAAAATTTGTTTTCAACTCAGTAAATAGAGTTAAAATTTAACCTTTATACTGGAGTTAAATTGGAAGAAATGTTACCTTCTCTTTTAGAGTATTTCTTCAAAAAATTCTGCTTACACTATATTATGAATTTAAATCTACACATTAGGATCTCTGATTACTCCACTATAAATTCCTTTTCTAGGTAATGAAATAAACTTAAGTTTTGTTGTTATAACATACAACCACTTCAATGCTTTACTTCTACACAAAAATATTGTGATTCTTTATCTATAAAGTATAAAACTAAAAAATCTAAAAACCTACTTTCAAAACATTGCATAAACCACATTGACTGTAAAATATTAGTATAAAACCTACTACATTTATATGTAACATCTGAAATGCTATGACAACTAACCTCAGTTCTTTATGTTTAAAAAATGCATAAGGGCTGTAAGCAGCTCTTGCCAAACAGTCCATTATGGGCTGTTAGTGGGTTAAAGCAGTATCCCGATTCTTTGTTTACAAAACTAGACAATAAAAGTTAACTCGTATTGACTGAATTGTACTGTTTCTCTCTCAACAAAATAGTTGTGCTGGCTAAACGGAGACATCTTCACAGCATGACACTGAAATACGACAACCTTCGGTCAAGATGACAGCCCTTGCGACCTTGTGTCATGTATCTTCACGGCATGACACTGAAATACGACAACCTTTGGTCAAGATGACAGCCCTTGCGACCTTGTGTCATGTAAAAAATGAGTTCATCAACAAAATAGTTGTGCTGGCTAAACGGAGACATCTTCACGGCATGACACTGAAATACGACAACCTTCGGTCAAGATGACAGCCCTTGCGACCTTGTGTCATGTAAAAAATGACTTCATCATATTCAATTCAAATATACTAAAACTCTTCTTGCTAGTCTGAATTTACTAATAATTAATATCCAATTTTATAGTTTAAACTTTAAAACATTGACTTAGTTTTTCAGTCATAAATATTTGATGCCTATATACAGCAATATACTTTGAAAATGTTGTATTACTACATGCAACATCACTAGCCTAGGCCAATTAAAATATTGGAGCCTTAGCAGCGAAAGAGATCACACAAAGTTATCCGTGAGCTTGTCCAGTGTATATAAACAACAGCTGATTGTGTGACAAATAACAACACGATCTGAAACCAATAGCATTTATTTCTTGGTAAGAGTAAAAAGTCTAATAGCGGCATCACGAGACACTTGATAGGGGCTCTAATAAGCCCTCACAAAACTCATTTTATGTGCAGCTTCAAGCAGTGTGATGGTGACCTCCAACTATTAACAGTTGCATCCCCCCATGATTACATTTAACATTGGAAATGCTATGACTGACTGTTGGTATAAAGAATTCCTTCCACAGCCTTTCATCAACTCTTAAGTGAACGTATACACACACGGGTTGAAACCAAACAGTTTGAATTTAGACTCATCTGCCCAAAGTACCTTGTGTCATTATTCCGAAGATCAGGATACATATTTCTCTGCAAAGGCTAGGCTCTTTGTTATATTATCTTTTCACAGTTAGGGTTATCTTACTGTGTTAAAAGTATCTTACTGCTTCTCTTCCTACAAAATCGTATTTCTACCACATTCTTGAGACTGTATCTGAACATGACTTGTTAATGTCATCAGTAAGGTTTTTCATTTCTTTCAATAAGCTTATTTATCCCCTGTCTTGTCTGATATTACAGGACTGGATCTGGTTGTATTTGTCCAATGTGTACTTCACACCACTTGGCAAACAGCTAAGATCTTTGTCTGATGTTACAGGACTGGATCTGGTTGTATTTTTCCAATGTGTAATTCACACCACTTGGCACACAACAAAGGTATTTGTCTGATGTTACAGGACTGGATCTGGTTGTATTTGTCCAATGTGTACTTCAGACCACTTGGCACACAACTAAAGTATTTGTCTGATGTTACAGGACTGGATCTGGTTGTATTTGTCCAATGTGTAATTCACACCACTTGGCACACAGCTAAGGTCTTTGTCTGATGTTACAGGACTGGATCTGGTTGTATTTGTCCAATGTGTAATTCACACCACTTGGCACACAGCTAAGGTCTTTGTCTGATGTTAAAAGACTGGATCTGGTTGTATTTGTCCAAAAGCATGTAACTTTAACTCTGTCAAAGGGTTTTAATTCTCTCTGTTTTGGCATTTTAATGGCAACACCACATTATATGGGCTGTACTGGTTTTAATGGCAACACCACATTATATGGGCTGTACTGGTTTTAATGGCAACACCACATTATATGGGCTGTACTGGTTTTAATGGCAACACCACATTATATGGGCTGTACTGGTTTTAATGGCAACACCACATTATATGGGCTGTACTGATTTTAATGGCAAC